TGGGCTTCAGCAAAGTCGGCGCGTCAAGGTCGGACCAGCAACGGAGGGCGGGCACAGTTGCGCAGCTGTATCCTATGTGTTGTTACTTGCACCTGCGACGAATCTGAGACCTCGGGGATTCGAAAAGGACAGCCGGCTGTGTCGATGGCGGCGGCGTGCAAGGAACGTCATGGAGGGTGCCAGTAGAGGCAATGATGGACGTTGCGCATTGGTCATAGTTCAAGCGTTCAAGCCTCCGAGGGGACACAGGCCAGGGATGGGCTGCGCAGTTATCGACGAGCGCATGACATAAGCCAAGCTATGTGGGGGGCGTAAGCAGGGAATCACCCACACCCATACAGTAAATAGTACTGGCACCGTAATTCCCCATCCTTTCAACATCATTAAACAAGGACGCAGACGGTAGTCGAAAATTTGTATGCCACCTTGTCTCTCTGTCCAAGACGTGCTTTTCGTGGTAGGGTCGAGTCCCGCATCTCCGTTGATGTAGCTCCGCCACCACACGCACCACCCTGCTCCCCGTCCACGTCCCAGTACAGTAATACAATACGACGACTAAGTACGAGCCGTCACACCACTTACAGGCAACGGCCTTTGTCCTAGCCCAACAAGCAGCCTCGTATCCGATGCTCCAACGCTCCAAACACGCTCTAGGGTATACCCGGAGATTTCGATAGCCTGTGCAGCATGCAGTAGTGTCGTGTGTGGATCCCATTCGTGACCCCTAAAATTCTATTCTTGTACCGATCCTCTTCTCGTCCGCCGCACTGCGCCTCCCACCTGGCCACTTATGGCTGTCTTGAACCTAGGTCACGAGGTGCGAATGCATATGAAAACGATATATTCGTTGCGTCTTGGCCTGGAGACGAGACACACTTTGTACTTGTTGGTGCTGTAGACACACCGCGCTACGCACGCGAATCCTTGCTTAGTGGGGTCGACATCTGTCGGGTGCCAACCAAGCTTTGTGCCGACTAAGCTGGCTTCATTTGCAGACACCACAGCTTTCATTCATCAGCTGATGATGTGGATATCTACTTAGCTTCCTCTACTATGTCTCCTCCATCTTCTACCCTCTCCTATGCGCCAGGCTCCGCATTTGGTGTCTTGTGGGACTTGCATTTGCGAGGCTTCTTAGCAACCCTTACTCCCTGTTCTTCTCCATCCGACTTCTCAACCATGGTTTCTGTAACGTGACTCTTTCGTGGCCGTCCACGTTTTCTCCGAGTAGCAGTAACAACTGACTGTGGCTGCGATTGCCTGGGCTTGTACTCTACCTGAATTTCAGGTGGGTTGTCACGCTTCATCATACGGTTCCACTTGACCGAAGCCTGAATGCGACTCCGAATGTTGCCCATCTCGTGGCTGACCTGTGGCCAGTTGATGTCTTTGTTGGTGTATCCATCTCTGGCCGGCTTGCCCGTCGCTGCGCGCACGTCTTCGTCTTTTTGGGCAACCGTGTTGACGGCGCGGATGAGAACATGTTCCTCCTCTTGACTCCAGTGAGACTTGTTCCGGGTCTCGCCACATTTCACGTAGTCGCGCCATCGGTTGTGACAATCCTGCATGGAGCGCGTTCCCATAGTTACCGAGATGACTTTCCACTGCTTAGGATGCGCGTCGTACAACATCCGTAGTTGTTCGTCTTCTTCCTCGCTCCAAGCCCCGGTTTTGTAGCAATGATAGACTGCACGGATGTGGTTCCTCTGTATGTCAAACGGACGCGTCAAATTGACGTTTCTGATATCTGCCCAGAATTCATCGCTCTCTCGTGCATCCTCCTCGTCTTGCACAGACCAGTTGCTCTTTCGCCACGAGCGGTCTGCGTGATTGAGGCCTGGGTCATGTTTGCTCCAATGTATAATGTCGACCAGCTCCGATACCTCCAAGCCTTTTCTCTGCTGGTAATCAGCAATAGCTCGACGAATCAATTCTATTTCATCCTTAGTAAACTCTCCACTATTCCTCAATACCGGAGGCTGATTGAGATGACGGCATGTAGATAGTGCCCTTTCGGCCGGTGTCGTATCAAACTTGTCACTGCGCCTACGTTGTGGTGTGATGCTTCGTGTGTCTGGCTCGATTGCAGACACATTATTTGATCGTGCCTTCAACTTCTTCCTTTGCTTGTTCCTGGCGGTCTGGTGCTTATTGGCAGGACGACGATGACGAATCTCATCGTTGCTACTTTCAGTCGTTTGAAATATGGTATCCTCATCAGGGTCGGGTTCAGGCGTCTCATTTGACGACTGGCCAGGTTTTCGCACAGCCTCCACTTCCTTGGGTGAAGATGTTTCTTGCGGTACGGCAACTTGGTCAGCGACCTGGAGTTGTATAAAGCCGTTGGTTGCATTGGTTGCAGTCGTCATTTCGGCCTTGGCGTCGACATTAGACCGCAGCTCGCTGTATGCTTCTCCTGCCTCAACCGCCGCACCACTCGGAGGATGCGGTTCATCGCCGGGAATGTCGTAAATGTTTCTTGCCTTTGCGACAGGCGTTTGCGGCTTTTTGACTCGTTTCAACTTGGTCTTTCTGCCGAACTGTACTTGATCTTGGTCGCGTCTGAGGCTGTTTTGAGCCACGGACGCGTCTGAGTCGTGACTCGAAGCGGGAACTGCCTGCGACGACGTAGTGCCCATGCTCTTAGATAGGTGAATCACGTATACCCACGGCTGTCATGGAGCATTCGCAAGGTCGCAATGTTTGGAATGCGATGATAGCATTGCCATCGCATGCAGGTGTCGCGTGCGGACTTTTCGGTGCTGGTGCCTCGACTAGTGCTGTTTAGGCTAGGCAGAAGCTATGCACGTCCCCTTTACATTGACCCGGATACGATACCGATACAGTGACAGTACCATGGAAATGATATTATAAGCCCACGACGTATCTTTAGTCTTGATCTTCGATCGACGCATAAGCACTTGTAAACCCTGCGACATATACTTTTGTTAGTGGTTATAAATGCAAACCGTACATGCTCGTTATTTTAGTCGATCTTACTTCGTCATGGGTCTGCATTAGGGACATATCCACCTAGACCCACGAGAGTTCACTGACGGTCTGGAGTCACATAGGTAACAAAATGCCATGATTCATAAAGCTGCAATATTATGTACAAGAAAACAACAACCATAGCTTTAGCCTAAGATGCATCCAGACATGCTCCGTAGGAAGTCTTGTATCATAGAAACCCGCGTCTCATCCCGTCTTACAACAACAGTCCGACAGCAGCGATAAGGGCAACGACGAAGCTAATGGTAGCACCGCTCTTAAGCTGCGTACCAGCACTACTGCCATGGATACCTAGAATCTCAGCTTGCCTCGAAAAGGTGACGTTCTGCGGGATAGTCTCGTTTAAACATTGACCATTGGCGATATCCAAGCCAGTCAGGTCATCTGGCACACGGAAGAACATGTAGCTCCTGTTATTCAAGCCCTTGAAGCCTTCAGTGTTGTATGGGAACCACATGCCGGAGTCGGTAGCCGAAGTGTTGCGGAGGAAGATGCATTGTACCTGGTTGGGATAGGTGTGGGCAAGCTGGGGATAGTCTTTCATGACATCGCTGTTGGAAGTATCGGCGACAAGGACAAACTTGCGCTGGGGGAAGGTCTCGAAGATCTTGGTTAAGAGGTACATGCGGATAGACAAGGTAGCTTTGACGTCGGAGAAGTTGAGCGGGCGCGTGTCGAAGGAGCCACCGGGATATGTCTTGTAGATGAAGTCCATGTAGAGGCGGGTGGCTTGTTCTGGCGTCGTGGTCAAGTAGTGGAAAGATGTGTTGTTTGGGAGGGAGCGCGACCAGTTGGCGTAGATGTCGGGCATGTTCATCCAGGGTGTAAAGGGGCGGGCAAAAGAGTTGAGGAGACCCTCCTTGGGCTCGTAGATTTTGGTTACGCGCAGGATGTCGTCAATGTCGGACACAACAGTAATACCCTCGGTGGGCAAGAGAAAGGCAGTGGCATTGCCGGTCATGGTACCGTTGGTGTAGACGTTCAGTCGCTGAACATTGTTGGTCTGGTTGCCGGGGATAGACCGTTGGACTGGATAGGGACGAAGACATCAAAGTCGCCTTGGTCGGTCGTCTCGTAGGGCAGTGTGAGGTTCTGGACGCCGCCAGGAGCCTGGATCGAGTTGCCGCCACCGGGTTCACCGTCACCACCTTGTGACGGGGCCGGCTCGAGCGACATGGAGACATTGACATTGGACTGCTGCACGATGAAGATGGAGCGCGTCAGGTTGCGTGCCTGGTCTTGCTCTACGGAATTGTTTAGCTTATCCACGCTTGTATCTATCAGGAATACATTGGCCAGGTCGTCGACCTTGCTTTGGCTGATATTGGGAAACTTGTACACATTGCCGTGGAAGCGCACGTTCCAGCCCTGGTCGGTCCAGTTCGCGTAGGGAGGGATGTTGAGCACTTGGGTGGGCTGCGCAGCCAAATCGCCATCGTTGATGCCGAGACTTGAGAGCACCTGGCTACCGGTAGGCAGACCTTCGAACCAGCCGGGGATACCTGGAAATAACTTAGCATAAGCTTGGACTATGACTACACCACCCGGGTGTCATAAAATACTCGACATAATAGTGTACAAACATCACTGTAGTCGCCAGACACGCCTATTACATGGCGTCAAGTATTTTATGACACCCAGGTGACACGGACAATTATAGTCCTACCCTCGGTGAAGAAGCTGGGCAGGTCTGTTCCGAGCACGCTGCCTATCGACTTTACATATTTGTCCGCACCGCTCTGGATATCGTCGATAATGTTTCGCTTTTGCACGTAACTGTGACGACCGTGGAACCGGATCGCCGCAGGAGTCACCACGGGCGCTTGAATCACGACTTTGGCAGGTGCCACCGTAGGCTCTGGCACTGCAACTGCGCCCACGAGGCCGAGTGCCGCACTCAGCAGCAGCAGCAGCCGCCGATTGTGCTGACACATGCTTTGATCCACCATATTGGTCGTGTTGTTGTGAGGCTGAGGCTGAGGCTGAGGCTGAGGCTCGGAGGGCGAGGGCGATGTCAAGGACTAGGATCAAAGGGGCCGACGCGTCAAGTACCGTCGATGCGACAGACTGAAGGAAAGAGAAGGAATGCACAAAGAATAAAATAGAAGACAAGGGCTGAGGGATATACCAAAGTACAAGACCTGAAACCGCGCTTGTTTTGGTTCGCGTCTAGCAATAGCAGGTTTACACACGACCTGGCCGTGGTGCTGGCGTGCTGTAGCGCGGCGCAGCCACAGCCAACATGACGTCATTTTACTTCCTAGCCGCCCTAGCCCCGGCCCGTGCGATCTGCGAAGACCATCGCAGATCGTCTCCCGCCATCATCCAATCCACAATCCCACAAACACCTTTCGGACCTGAGCGCGTGGCCAATGTGTCGTACATGATGCTTGAAATTGCAGCCTTCAATCCTCACTCGGCCATTGCCGCCGCAAAATCAGGCGCCCATCGGATTGAACTATGTGCCGACTACGCTGCTGGTGGCGTCACCCCTTCCCTCTCAGCTTTGCAGCAAGTGCGGAAAGAAACCTCAATACCAGTCAATGTCATGATCCGACCACGGGGAGGCGACTTCAACTACTCGGACCAAGAGTTTCAGTCCATGAAGCAAGAGGTGGAGAGTCTATCGTCTTTGGCCACCGGCTTCGTCTTCGGCATCTTGGACTACACCCATCGTCTGGACAAATCTCGCAACTGCGAGCTAGTAGACATTGCTTCCCCACTTCCATGTACATTCCATCGTGCAATCGATCAAGTAGAAGACATGGAACAAGCTGTCGAGGCCGTCATCTGTTGTGGGTTCAAGAGCATACTGACTAGCGGCGGCAAGAGTACGGCGCTTGAAGGTGCTAAGAAGCTTCACCACTTGCAAACAAGATTCGGAACAAGGATATCACTGATAGCTGGAGGTGGGGTCCGGAGTACCAATGCCGAAGAGCTCAGCAAACGGACTGGCATAGAATGGCTTCACTCCGCTGCTATCACACAGCCCGGAGAAGACGTAGACGACGAAGAAGTGAAAAGGATACAGCAAGTGCTTGCAACATTTCAGCATGAACAAGGCAGTATGTGCTAAAGTGTGGTATTGTCTATCAAGCGTGACGCGTCCGTGCCGCTTCTAGATAAAACGGTGCAGGAATAGCTACGCAACACATATCGTACTCTGATACTTTTGTAGAAATAAACAAAGGCTGTAGTGGGTATCATGCATTCCAGAATGCCTAACATGTTCCTGGCGTCAACTAATACGACCAATCCATTGTAAACAATCACGTGTATACAAAGCCTACAGGTTGGGATCCAAGTCTTTACACAAGCGCGTATAGCAAAGCTCCCATAATTGACATTCCAAACGACCTCAATGAGTCAACAGACACCTGTTCAGCTGCTCCTTTGCTAGTTGATGAAGCAGCATCCTTTGTCTGTGTTACAACAGTCGTCTGCTCGGCCATGGTCGTTGCCTGACTAATAATCGTGGCAGGAACTGTAGTCTTGACCTCAACACCGCTTATAGTTGCTGTCTTTACAGTCTGCGCGACGGTAGTAGGCGCCGTGTATGTCGTTGCAGGAATAGTAGTCGTGTATACGACAATCGACCCAAGCTCGGTAATAGGAATAGCACCTCCAACACCGCTACCTGTAAACTGTGGGGGAATAGACATGGTCGAAGTGTTAGGCTTCTCCGATTCGTTGGGATAGATGTTGGCCTTCTGGCCATCCTTGGTGTAGGAACCGTTGATAAGGTCTACGTCTACACCTTCAGAGTGGTACTCTCCCGCCGAGACAGTTCCGTAAGATCCATCTGGAAACTGGAAGTTTGTGGTGAACTTGTCATAGCACATTGGGATATTGAGGTTCTGGACCTTGACGCAGTCCAGGCTTTGGCGGCAGCAGAAGCCTTCGGCGCGGGTGTGGACACTTCTCTTATCGAAAGAGATGCCATGGATAGAAGAGACAATATCCGTGTATAGTGAATTCAGCTGCGTGCCGACGGCTGGTGGTGTCAAGCTCGACGCTCCTTTTGGCTGGCAGGGCTCGCAGGGGTCGTCGCTTGTGGACTTTTGCATCGAGTCAAAAGGAGACGCGGCTGCGGCTACGACAAGAGCGAAGGATAAGACTTTAATAGACATGTTGAATGCTTCGTGGTTGTCGCCGTGATTGTTGATGGATCGAATGGTGATTATAGATATTACACGTCGTCGTATTACGTGGCGGACAATTATCAAAATAGGCAGTAACGAATGGCAAACGCAAGCGAGCGTATAGACGATTGAGTAATGAAAGTGAGGGGATAGCTAGAGTGTAGGGAAAGGGCAGCCTCGATCATATATACCGCATCCACACACCCCATATCGCAGGTACTAACAAGGTTTAACCAGGCTCCGCTTGTGCTGCGTTGAACTAGCCCACAGGTACGATGCGCTTTTTACTAAACGACCAGCACGCCACACCGCGATAGGATAATTACCATGCGGCAGGCATCACTCGTCATTCGTCAGATAATTCAGACCTTCAGGCAGCGCATACTGTCCAGGGACGCCCCTCGCGAGAAATTGGTTGCGCACTCATTTACGCTCTTCGTCTGGCCCTTGTCAATCTAAACGGCGGCATTTAGCAGCGCGGGCAGCCATGTCAAAGTCTTCAAGCAACTGACGGCTCGATACGAGGCCGCTAATGACTGGATAGGGCAAGTCGTGTTATCCGACAGGGCCACAATCCTGCAACCCCCAACCGAAGCGCGCACCGCATGAATCGGTTGAACAGGACAGCATTGGACCCGCCATCACGCGACGTCTTAGTCTCGTGCTCCCCTTTCTTACCTTTTCTTCGCGAAACCAAACTAAGCCTGTGTCAACACCTCTATAACGATTGCGCCCCTCGAAGCCGCTTCCCGCCCGCAATTACATGCGACGGTTCTGGCGCCGCGGTAATCGTGCCTGAGAGAGCCATGGTCTGAGCGCACCAAGACTGCCATCTGCACGTCTCGAACAATAAGTAGAAATAATGAGATTTACTGTAATGAGAAGAGTAACCACTAACGACCGCCAGGTTCCCATCCATGCTTCTCGGTTCTTAACCCAGCCGTCCTCCATAAAAAAAGAATAAATTTCAATAGTCGCGGGTATGCCGGCAACTATAGCTCCGCTGCGATTAACGATTCCGATAAGAATAAATTTTCCTCTAACGCCACCCACACATTCACTAGCCTAATATAAATATGCTGCAAAAGAACACGGCTTTCTCTCTACTACTTTTGGGCTCTAGGCCTCGTTGTAGTCGCATGTGTATTCTTACTTCTTCCTAGTTCTGGTACCTATCCCACCACCACTAGTTGATCCTAGATAGCGGAACCCTGGAAGCTTGTGCGAAGTGCAGCAAACCATTGTCGTACTTAGCAATGTACCATCTTCGCAAACTGGCACACTGAGGGGCTACCTATAGGCATGGAATTTCTTGCCCCAGCCAAAGCACCAAAAAGAGCTCTTATAGTGTCGCACCTCAGTGCCTAATATGCAGAGTTGATGCGTTTAACAGCCCTTCGAGAAGCAGAATTACATTCTAGTCCCTCCTGTTGCCGTTATATTGAAAGCCGCACTTGTCCGGATAGCTTCCAAAAGAGGGCTGTTGCTGTATAATAAAGCGGTAGGGTCCTAACGGCTTACGCGAGAGGAATGCGATGATTCCTGTAAACACAGACAGGTAATCTATCACGACTTTAGAAAAAATGTCGCTGCGGCTAGCATGAGCGCAATAGGAATTAGAGAGTGGTCTACCGCTTGTTGGTATTGGTGATGTATCTTACGCGTAGAACATATCTGAACGGAGTCTCGCACGACCTACCAATGTTTCGGTGGAGTTTTCACCCATGGACTGGCCTGGCCCAGAGCCTAGTCAGTTCGGGCTTACAGGCCGGGCTTTGTAGATTGCCAGATCTCGTGGCAAGACTTTCAGATCCAAGCTTAGCGCGGGATGCCTCTTTATCCGTTCTCGTGCTGATATGCCGTGCCATCGCTTACACATCATCTTCTTGCTGCATTATTGGGTATGACAGATCAGGTGCTTCGCTTCCTTCAATTGCGTAATTGTCCATTACTATAGCTACGGCACGAGGCCCTTTACTTCTTTACCTTCCCTCTGATTGTTACTTTTTCTCTTATGGTGCATCAAGATGGAGAAATATAGCAAATCGTTCATCGCAATCGTATGCATAACTGCATTTATTTCTTGCGTAATTGGCTCTTCTATAGGTCACGAGTCGGCGCATGTTATTGAATCAATTATTCAGAGCGCTATAACTGGTACGAGTTATCTAGCTATGAAAACGTTACCAAAACTTAATTGTCTTCACTCAGACTCTGTCGACCTCGGAGCTGTTCCAGACATGGATCTTTCTTCTACACTTGAAAGTATCGCTTCTACGTACGCCGATGTCAATACCCGCACGTTCGCGCCACGTAGTGTCAACCTCACCGGACTCATCGATGTTCACGGCACGTGCTCACTCCGACCACTCATCATGTATCTGACAGATATCACAGCGCATTGCGTACCAGACTGGTATCGCGCAATTGTTCCTAGAACTGGCGGGAATCCAACGCCATCATGGAACGTTACCGGGCATCTCGACTTCATGGCGAGTCAAGGCATATCTCGCGCCGTACTAGCCTTCTCATCACCTGGCGCCAACGTATATCCGGGAAACCAGGCCGCCACCATTGCGCTTGCGCGGTTGATCAATGAGCAATCTGCAGCGTATGCGCGGGCCTACCCAGATCAGTTTACATTCTACGCTGTCGTCCCGCTCCCATACACACCAAATGCAGTCGCCGAGGCTACGTATGCGCTTGATATGCTTGGGGCGGCTGGCATCGCCCTCTATTCCAACTTCGAGGGTCGCTACCTAGGCGATCCATCCTTTGTACCTTTTTTTGAAGCGATAAACGCTCGTGGAACAGACCAAATCATCTACGTGCACCCCACGACGCCCTATATACACGTAAATGGCACCCTTGTCGAGGCAAATCCGACCACATACCCGACTGGAAATATCGAATTTTACTTCGAGACAGCACGAACGCTTCAAGATCTCGCAGTTACGCAGATTATCCTTAACTTTACTAGCATCAACTACATTATTCCGCACGTCGGTGGCGCATTCCCTTCAGTAGCAGATCGACTGCTTAAATCATATCCAGTAATCTATGACAGGACTATGGCTGCACTGCAAACGCGTTTCTTCTGGGATTCTGCTGGCCCAACATACTTCCACCAAGTCGGCGCGCTTCTGGCTTACGACATTCCGACTACGCAGCTCTTCTTTGGCACTGATTTCCCATATGCTCCTATCTTTACTTACGGCCCATCCTTACTAGGTAACGTGGATGGCAAGCGAGTGGGCCAGGCAAGCGAGTGGGCCACCCCACCAACTTTTGTAACTTCAAAGCGACTTATCTCAACAACGCGATAATATTATTGCTAGATATTGATACAGTAGATTACTCTATATTAAGAGTATTAGTGTTGCATGTGCGCGAGTTGTGCCCAGTCTCCTTGCACCTGGTGCAGCGCCTTTGAGCGCGCTGGCTAAGGCCTGATCGCGCTCCTCCTTGACGCTCTTCATGAGCAATCTGCTGGTCAGCCTCATTTTGAGCTAGTATATCCTCTCCAGCTCCCTTTGTGAGTACTCCATGCTTCTGTATACGCCTTTTAGAGCGCTGCCTACGCGCTGAGGCTGCGCTGTTAGCCTTCTCAAGACTAGAGATCCGATCGCGCATCAGCTCAGCAGACAGCATCATCACCTCAGCGCCCTTCTTCAGCTGGTCAATCGCCTCAATGATCGAAGCTGGTGATGAGCTCTTATGCTGGCGCACGCGCTCACGTATAAGGCTTGACTGAGCCTCAAGCTCACGCGCGTTGCTCGGCGTTTGAGCTACCCAGGGAGCATCTGGTAGAGCTGCTGGAGGAGTAGGTGTACGCAGCTGTACATCTAGCTTTGATAGAACAGCCTCTGGTTGTAGAGGAACAAGGCCTGCGCCGCGGAAGGCTGAGTAGATATTAGCTGGCGTGAACGCTCGATCAAACGCAGCCTTAAACGCAGGCAGAAACTCTAGCTTGGTGATGTGGTTGATGTGGTTGCGCATGAGGCTCTCCACCTCACGGCTATACGCGCGCTTTAATGGCGAGAAGCAGCCAACATCAAGTGGCTGGAGTAGGTGAGATGAGTGAGGAGGCATACAGAGCGTATGGATATTGTTCTCCTTACAGAGCTCCTGGAACTCTAGAGATTGGTGGCTCCTATGGCCATCAATAATAAGCAGGCGACGCGCGCCTATAGTACGAGCCTGCGTGTGAGCGTTGAAGTGCTTTAGCCACTCAACTCCAAGCTCATTATTCGTCCAGCCATTATCGCTGACTGCGATCGCCCAGTCGCGTGGGATATCCTCCTCATACCACGCTGATAGGTGGTACTGACCAGCGAAGATGAGGAACGGTGGCACTGACCAGCCACCAGCGCTGATGGCAGCAATCAGCGTTACCCACTCGCGATTGCCTGGCTGAATACTCTTCCGCCGGCCTCTTCTCTCTGATCCTGTTATAACCAGCTGCGTTGTAATCTTGCCCATCATAAAGCCAGCTTCATCAAAGTTGTAGACATCCTCATCGCAGATACCCTGCTCAGCCTTTATCTCTTCTACAAGCTTAAACCACCTCTTTATTAATGTCGCATCCTCACACATAGCTCTCTGCCTATCGTACGCTCGGTTGAAACACGTCCGAAGACTGTCTGTACGCTTAACAAAGTTGGCTGGCCACTTCTGCCCAACCTGGCCAGCGCCGCGCGCAGCCAGCAGCTTATCAGCCATATCGCGTGCAGCTGCGTAGGTAGGCGCAAACCCGCGCTGATCTAGGTGAAGTATATAGCTAATAATCACCTCCTCTTCTCTCTGGGTAAGCTTCCTTGAGTTAGGCTGGCAATCGCGTCGTGCAGGTATACCAGCGCGTCGGCGCGTGAGTGTCATTCGGGCGACTTCAAATGTCCGCGCAGCGTCTCTATTAGACTGGAGCTGGTTTCGGGTAGTAGCTGAGATAGCTAGCTGTATATCAGCTTCATAAGAAGGGTTTTGGGATTGTTTTGGTGGAGCCATAATTGACTGAAGTTAGGTAGATGCAAAAAGTTGGTGGGGTGGCCCACTCGCTTGCCTGGCCCACTCGCTTGCCATCCACGTTATCAAGACTTCACCATTTGTAACAAGCAGAGAACGACTAGGGATCTTTACACAAAATGCGGAGAGACTGTTTCTAAATAAAATACCTTCGTAGAAGAAGATATAAGATTAACTAGTTTAGTTATATTATTGGAACAAGGTCCCTCTAGTAGTATGACTACTATGGATAACCGAGTGGGAGGAGGGACAAGGCGGGGTGGCTGCAACGTATTGTATTAACTATCGTAGTTTTGTGTCTAGGTCTCACTCTATTGTGGTGGGTGCTATTGCCCACCGGGCAGTGCCTGCCACACCAGCACATCATGTGATCCCCAAGCACCTTCTACCTGGACTGAACCCAGATATTCTCAACATATATTAATAAAACTATCTTTTAGTTAACGTGCGGGATCAGTAACGTGTCCGTGCACCTCGTGCACGGATTTATCTCGTGCACGCCGAACACTATCTTAGCGATCTCAAAAATGAGGCTGTACAACGCCACATAATAGCTCAATATTAATAAAAACGTAGTATAGCAGTAATCAGATGCTTGCGATCAACTTGTACTATCTATATTTTTGTGGGAGGCTGACGTTGCGGCCACGTGATGTGACTTTGGCTGGAGCAGCAGATAGCTCATCTCCAGCTTGAACACCAGCGTGAGCAGCGCCAGCGCGTTTTTGACGCTTGTTACTTGGTGAGAGTACTTGTGAGGCTTTACGCTTGCGTTTTTGAGCTTGTTGGATAGATTTTTTCTGGTGTTGAGCTTCAACTTTGCGCGCGCGTTCAGCTGCTTTCTCAGCTCGCTCAACCTCCCTTATCTCTTTGAGCCTCTGCCTCTCTACACGCTTCTTTTCGAGCTCAACTTAACGCTGCAGTTGAGCCTCCTTACGCTGCTTCTTGGCCCATGCTTTTGGGAGTTTCTCCTCCGTCTCATCTCGCTCCCGTACTGCTTCTCTAGCTCGAGCCTCACGCAACTTGCGAGGAGACCAGAAGACAGAGCCACCGTGATACTCCTGGCGCTGTTGAAGGTCAAGAGCTTTGCCCTTCTTCCTGTGCTTCTTTTTGTGTTGAAGAGCCTCCTTTAAGCCCTCATTCTCATGCTTTAAAAGCTCATTTTGAACAGAGAGATGGTG